GAGGCTGCGGTGGCCGGGAGCTGCCACTGCACTCCAGTCTGGGCGACAGAGTGAGACTCCAACGCAAAAAAAATAAAAGAAAGCGAGTGACAGGCTAGGGAGGTCTACATGTCACCTTGGTCTCTCTGAACCCCTGATCTGAACCAAAACCCACACACACACCCCTTCATACTTCGGTTTATTCCTCCTGCTCATGAAAATGGCTGACAAGTGCCTTTCAGGGGGAGGGAAGGCGACGCTGGAAATGTCCTTGGGAGCTCTGTGGTGCATTCTCAGGTGGGAAGCTCAGCAGCCAGGGATCTGGGGGGCCAGGCCCGGCCCTCAGCATCCAGAACTGGGGCCGCTCCTGAAGGGACCAGAGGGCAGAGACTCCACACGGGGTGGGCGGCTCCACAGTGCGGGACACTTTTCTCCTCAGCCCAGGGAGCTCATGAGGGCCTGGGCCTGCTTCAGTTCTGCAGAGGGAAGAGGTAGGCAGGTGGGAGGCAGCCAGGCAGGAGCTGAGGGAGCCCCATGCCCCTCCGGGCACAGCTGAGCCTCACCTGCCAGGAGGACCTGGAACTTGTCTGCTGAGAGGGACATGGTGACAGGCTGGGCAGGGGCACCTGGGGCAGCGGCCACCTCCAGGCGCAGGTGCACCATGGGTTCATCCACGGACCGTAGCAGGCTGGAACTCAGGGTATAGTCCACCCGCCAGCTCACACCCGCCAACCTGTTCACTGTGAGACAGAGTAGGTGGCCTTCAGGGTCACAGATGGGCAAGCCAGGTGGCCCAGAGTCCACACCCTGGCTCAGCCCTCTGCCCTCCAAGGCTGTGTGGCCGCCAGGAGGCTCTCACCCCTTGGACCCAGGCTTGGAACAGGGTGGGTGTTCAAAAAATAAGTAACACAGATGACCCACAGCAGAGCTCAGTGGAGAAACTGGGTCAGGAGATGGGGCCAGTGCCCGCTGCCCCTGCTCCATGTGTGACCATGGTTCTCTCTGGGGACCGGCACTCTGGATGCTGCACGCACCTTGACCCGGCTGGCCCCACACTTACCGCGCAGGCTGCAGGCTCGCAGGTGCTCCTGCAGGGGGCTCTGCTTCTCCTCGTAACAACGGCACAGGCTGGCTGCATGCTCTGGGGGCAGGAGGGAGGTCTCTTGAGGTAGCAGGCCGGGGCTGGGGCAGGGGCTACTCAGAGGTGGGTCTCAGGAGCCCAGAGGACAGGGCACATCTCAGGTTCACAGGGCTACCTGCCTGCCGCCCACGCCCCGCACCTTTGGGCAGGCCCAGCTGCTGCAGCTCGCTGGAAAGGGACTCGCCGTCGACGCTGTGCTTGGCCGCGCTGGAGAGGATGAAGCTCAACACTGCCACCGTGGCCTTCACGTCGCCTGACTCTGGGGACGTGAATGGGGCAGAGGGTGTCACTGTGGCCCTGGCCACCTCCCTGCTGCCCTGTTATCTTCAGTTCGAAGCCCCCAGCTTCCTGGAGTCACAAGTACCACTATTACCCCACTAGGAGCTGGCAGTGGACAGGAGGGCAAGACTGTTAAGTCTTTCTTCCCCTCATGCTCCTCCACTAAGGTGGGTGGGTCAGGAGGATGGGGCTTTTTTTTTTTTTTGAGTTGGAGTCTCACTCTGTCGCCCAGACCGGAGTGCAGTGGGCGCTCCCAGCCACTGCAGCCTCGACCTGCTGGGCTCCGGCGATCCTTCCGCTCAGCCTTCCAAGCAGCCGGAACTACAGGCGCACACTACCATGCCCGGCTAATTTTTAAATTTATTGTAGAGATGAGGTCTCGCCAAGTTGCCCAGGCAGGTCTCGAACCCGTGGGCTCAGGCAATCCACTCACCTCAGCCTCCCAAAGCACGGGATTACAGGCTGAGCCACCGAGCCCGGCCAGGAGGGGACTTCTATGTCAGGCACTGGTCTGAGTACCCAGAGCTTGTGGGCTCAGTGCAGTACTTACCAAACTTTGCATCAGCTGTGAGCTTCAGGATCTTCTCATACTACGGAGGAAGAAGACCCTCAGGGGGTGCCCGACCCCTGCTCCCCAGCCCCTCCTCCCCCACATCCTGTGCTAAGGACCAGGCTGGAGCCAGAGAGAAGGACAGGAGGGGTCCTGGAAGTTCGAGAAGCTGGCCGCCCATCTCCCAACCAGGTGCAGTTTCAGGGCAGAGCAGTGACAGAGTGGTGGGACCAAGCACCCTGCAGCCTATACTCACGTCAATCCCCTGTCCTAGGAGCTCCCTCAACACCTGGCTGCACAGCAGCCGCAGCTTCACAGAGGACTGGAAGGAAAGTTCTCACGTCAGCCCAACTGGCCCATCGCACCCCCACTGCTGGGACTGGCTCAGAAAGGGCCTGCCACATGATCAAGGTCACACAGCACAGCTGCACATGCCAAGAGCACTGAGGCCTCAAGCCCAGAGGGAACTCACCACCCTTCACCCCCACAACCCCCAGCCCCGGTGCCCCCACCCAAGTAACCCTGTGTACTCAACAATCTTGGCCAGCGTGCTGATCTCAGCCAGGACCCAGTCGGGACAGTCTAGGTCACCACAGAACCGGAACCTCTGCAAGGGAGCAAGGCAGGTGCTCAGGCCAGAGGGGGACTGAGGCGAGGTCAGGACCTGTGTGTGTCCCCCACGCTACTGTCCAGCAAAGACCCCTGGTCCCTGTCCAAAATAGACACTCTCCAGCCACCTGTTCTTTCCTGTCTCCCCCGTCTAGAAAACTCTCCCTGACTCACCCTGCCACCAAACCCTGTTATGATATCTGCGCCAGACCTCCATCTGCTCAACAAACATCAGTAGAGCACGTTCTCTGCGGTTAAGCCCATTCTAAGTGCTGGAGCACAATGGGGGTAAAACAAAGTCCCGGGCCTCAGGGACATGAACAACCTCTCTCAGCTCTTCCCACATTCACCCCTGCTCCAGTCACCCTGGTTTCCCTGCTGTGCCTGTCACACCAGCCCTGCTCCCGCCTTCACTCTTGCTGGCAGTTTTTTTTTTTTTTGAGTTGGAGTCTCACTCTGTCTCCCAGACTGGAGTGCAGTGGCCGCTCCCAGCCACCACAGCCTCAACCTGCTGGGCTCCGGTGATCCTTCCGCCTCAGCCTTCCAAGTAGCTGGAACTACAGGCGTGCACTACCACGCCCGGCTAATTTTTTATTTATTGTAGGGATGAGGTCTTGCCAAGTTTCCCAGGTGGGTCTCGAACCCGCGGGCTCAGGCAGCCCACTCATCTCAGCCTCCCAAGGCGCGGGATTACAGGCTGAGCCACCGAGCCCGGCTTGCTGGCAGTTCTATGTGGCTTGCTCTCACTCCTTTTATTCAGATCCCTGCTCAAATGACACCTCATCAGATGGGCCCCTCCTAATCACACTTTTAAAAATTTTTTAAATTTTAATTTTGTTGGGGGAGATAGGGTCTTGCTCTGTTTCCCAGCTGGAGTACAGTGGCACAGTCACAGCTCATTGCAGCCTCAAACTCCTGGGCTCAAGCAATCTCCTGCCTCAGCCTCCTGTGTAGCTGGGACTACAGGTGTGTCCCTGATCACACATTCTAAAACAGCCCATTGCACAAGGAACTTTTGGGAGCCAGGGGATATGTTCAGTATCTTGATCATGGTGATCCAAGACCCAACAAGATCTGGTCTTGTTTTCACTTGTCCAGCCTCATCGCTTACCTTGGGATTACACCCTTCCAGTTAGGTGAAATGCCTTCATTCTTAGAAGGCAGTGCTCTCTCTCTCTCACCTGAAGATTTTGCATATGCTGTTGACACATTCCCCCCAACTTTTACCTCTCAACCCCTGCACACAAGCTGCACTTTACCCGGCCAGCTCCCCCACACCTCCCGAGTGGATGTCATCCTCAGAAAGCTTTCTTAACACTGCACAAGGAGCAGTCGGGTCTCTGCCCCTGGAGTCTTAACTAGCCTGCCAATTCACGGCTCCAACTTCCCCTCCCCTCCTGCAGCTGAAGTCCCGGTGCCTGGCACACTGCCGGATGTAGACTAGGCACACACCTGTTGACCTGTTGAATGAATGAATGAATGACTGCAGGGTGCAGACTAGGTACTAAAACCTGCCTGTCCAATGAATGGACGGATGGGTTGGGAAGTTCCAACCCCAAAGAGACTCCTTTCTGGCTCTAGAAAATGTGAAGGGGCTTCCCAGCAGTGTGGAAGAGTGGCCTGATTTTAACACGTTCTTGTCCAAGTGTCACGGGAGGGCGGGGGGGGGGGGCTTGAGAGGTCCTCCTGGGGTCGGGGAAAGCCTGGAAGGTCGCCCGCTCGGAACAAGCCCAGTCCCAGCCCGGGAATGGGGAGCCCTTCCTAACGGCCAAGGAAGCGAGGGGACCCGTGCCGCCGGCCGGATCGCTCCACCCGCCGGGCCGGGAGCGGCGTGGCCCTTCCCTGCCAGAGTCCCGGCCTCGCGACCGCACCCGCTGTGCTCGCGGAGGCGCTGCCGACGTCGCACCCTTCCCGCCCGGCACCCCCAGGTCGCATTAAACCAGCCCCCTCACCATCGCGCCGGGACGAGGGGGGCTCGGCAATTTCTGCTTCCGGTTGCGCCTGTCAGATGATCCGGCGATCACGTGACCCGGGCGCCGGGCGTCTGGGGAGGCGGGGCCCGCCAGGGTCGGGGTAGGGCCGTCGCCGCCCTCTGGAGGTGCCTGGGGAGATACCAGAGCCTCCCCCGCGTGATCCCAGGACCTTTCCCTGGAAAAATCGGGGGACAGAATCAAGACAGCAGACAGAAACTAGGGAGTGGACGGCATTTCACTGATTCCACTAAACGAGGCAGGATTCCGAGAGCCGGGGCATTCAGGCTCTTTCCATCTTCCCCATCATTAAGCAACAGTATTGCATACGGCCTGTGTGTGTGTGTGTCGAAGTCTTTGTGTGTGTGTGTGTGTGTGTGTGTGTGTGTGTGTGTGTGTGTGTGTGTGTGTGTGTGTGTTAGCAACAGTATTGCATATGGCATATTTGTGTGTGTGTGTGTGTGTGTTTCGAAGTCTTACTCTGTCACCCAGGCTGCAGTGCAATGTCACGCTCACAGCCACCATGGCCTTGACCTGCATTAAGTAACAGTATTGCATATGGCTTGTGTGTGTGTGTGTGTGTGTGTGTGTGTGTGTGTCGAAGTCTTACTCTGTCACCCAGGCTGCAGTGCAATGTCACGCTCACAGCCACCACAGCCTTGACCTGCTGGGCTCAGACAATCCTTCTGGCTTAGCCTTCCAAGTAGCTGGAACTACAGGCACGCGCCACCACACCCAGCTAATTTTTTGATTTATCGTAGAGAGGAGGTCTCACCAAGTTGCCCAGGCTGGTCTCAAACCCCTGGACTCAGGCAGTCCTCTTGCCTCTGCCTCCCAGAGTGCTGGCATTACAGGCATGAGCCATTGTGCCCAGGAAAAAGACATACTTTTGGTTTTTTTGAATTGGAGTCTCACTCTTATCGCCCAGGCTGGAGGGCAGTGGCAAGCTCATGGCCACCGTAGCCTGGACCTGCTGGGCTCAGGTGATCCTTCCACTTCAGCCTTTCAAGTAGCTAGAACTACAGGCATGCGCCACCATGCCCAGCTAATTGTTTTGATTTATCATAGAGATGAGGTCTCACCAAGTTGCCCAGGCTGATCTCAGACCCATGGGCTCAGGCAGTCCTCTCACCTCGGCCTCCCAAAGTGCTGGGATTATAGGCATGAGCCACCGTGCCCAGTCAAAAGCATACTTTTATTTATTTATTTAGTTTTATTTTTTCAGTTGGAGTCTCAGTCTTTGCTGCACAGGCTGGAGTGCAGTGGCATGCTCACGGCCACCTCAGCCTCAACCTTCTGGGCTTAGGCGATCCTTCCACCTCAGCCTTCCAAGTAGCTAGAACTACAGACACATGCCACCACACCCAGCTAGTTTTTTGTGATTTATTGAGGAGATGAGGTCTCACCAAGTTGCCCAGGCTGGTCTCAAACCCCCTGACTCAGGCAATCCTCTCGCCTCAACCTCCCAAAGTGCTAGGATTACAGGCTGAACCACCGCACCCTGCCTAAAGACATACTTTCTTTTTTTTTGAGTTGGAGTCTCACTCTGTCGCCCAGACTGGAGTGCAGTGGCACGCTCCCGGCCACAGCAGCCTCGACCTGCTGGG